CAGAATCGTCGAACTTACAACTGAAGTTTATTCGTCAAGGCGCCAACCTTTTTCGATGACCAACCAAGAAAACACACACACATACCCAATGACACACCAGTAGATTCCATCACACTTATCGCGATCTTTGTACGCTTTACGTTTTACTCATCATGCCTTACCAACACGCCGATGCTTCTATTTTAAACAGTTGAAACCAATTATTCGCGACTCCAGCAAAGCGGACGGCACCAAGCGGGGAAACCGAGAACCAGCTGGAACAGGTCGCTTTGCGCCTTTCCGCGTCTCTGGCGGCTTTCGCGGACACGTGTTGTCGGCGCGGTGGCAAACAATGTAATTTGACGAATGTCCGAATAGTTCTTAAGTTTGTCTGAGTGTTCATAAATGTGGTGAAGCATCATTAGTGGGGTGAAGCCTCAGTCGATTGTTTGCTTCCACCACGTGTTTGAAAGCCCGTTTACTCCATAACACACGATCGCGTGCTTTCGATTTCTGGGGACGAATCACTGAAAGACGTTTTGATTTCTTGTCTGTTTCAAATCACATTCAAAGTGACGACTACTTCGTAACTAGTAAGTTGTTTCTTTATAAAATTGTAGAACAGTGCGCTGAGGACAGCAGACGACGTGTTTCACTGGAGGGAACACCAATGTTGCAGTCAAGTGAATGGGAAGGTTCGATGGCTGCTTTTCTTGAGTTTGGTTTTGTTCGATTAGCTTCAAGATTGAGCCACCCACGCCGGTCGGTGCGTTGACAATTCATCTTGGCTGCTTTTTGCCGAAAAATCCTCTGGACCACACCGAAGGAGTTGGGCTGATTTCGCCATTACTTGATTCGGGAAAACCTGCTCGCTGCATACGATTAATGAGGAAAACTGTCTGCTTTCAAAAGACGGGGGACGCGTCTCGCAAAGTGGGAAGCTGTCACGACACTATGATCTATCGCGCCTCCAATATTTATATTCTACCCCGTCGAAACCAGCAGCAATATACGTCTACATTGCTCAGGGTGTCCGGCCACAAGAAATACTCAATTTCTCCGTTCATGATTCGAAGCCAAGTTTAATGCAGAGGGGTTCTGCGTGAATCTCCGATGAAGCCTCTCTTCAGTTTTTTCGCATTCGTCTTCGTGCTGCCGGCCAGAACCATTTGGCTGGGTTGAAGTACCGTAGTATCTCTCTGTCTGTCAAATATGCTTTTATTCAGCAGATCACCTAATAGCTAGTCAACTAAGGTCATATTTTAACCCGAACAATATACTACTATCGCATCGCTTTAGTGGGACATAGTACGTTATATAATACAAAACCTGCATATTGGTCAAAATGACTTCTCGATTGCTACTAAAACATGAATTAAAATACGAGTATCAGCTGCATAGTGGGGCGTCAGCGGGTTAACATGCTCCTTGGCACAAAAGCGCTTTCCTGCAGCCTGTGCTGTTGACCGAGGAGACGACTGAAGTTGTTTCTTAAACGCGGATACGCACAAAAGCTCGATTTCGCGGACAGTTAAGTCGCATGGTCGAGGCATGCGAGTTAGTTGAAACTTACTCTCGGTGGAACAATTACATAGTCATCGCCACTCTCCTAAGCTGATCAAAACTGATTAGAGTCTATTGCCGTCTCTCCGGAGCCCATGGTTTCAATTTTGAACGAAATCTCTGAAACAAAAGTTTGACACGAAAAAGAACAAAAAGCACCGGGAAAACAAAACTATGCTTTGCCAGTTTATGTGCACCGGCTACACTTAGCCGTCACTGTTCAAATACCTATAAAATAGGGCATTAAACAAGAGAAAATCTGTTAAATTGAATGCGCCACCCGTTCAGGCGGCCCAGCCGAGCCGACGCGACCTGTTCCCAGCCGCCATGTCTGTTTGGTGGTGGCGCACCCTATAGGTCGCTGGAGTCGCGAATAGGATACCCATGTCCTTCCAAAAGAATATGTGCTTCGTCACCTGTACTGTCTTCAGCATCTTCTAAACTGCAACTTCGCAAAAAAATTTTGCGTGACTACTTCACCGCAGAAAACCATTGGGTTGTCTGTCTGTTTATATAGCCTAGAACTTGGTCTGCCTCAACAGGCGACGAGTCTCCCAGCTGTAGATGAACAATTTAGCCAGTGCAGTACAACCGTTAGCCTGGGGTATTTAACGTGCATCACTCAGTAGTGATACACGACCGCACGCCGGTACGATGCTCATCCAGATCGAAACGGGCAGGGGTGGGGATTGAACCCAGGATCCTGCAGCACTCCCCCCAGATTATGCGCGGGACCAGTCACTGCAATTGATGGACTTCGTACAGCGAATGAACAAGCTCAAAATTAGGATTTGGCCAGGAACGCAATTTGCTATGACGTTTTGAAGGCTCAATGTCCCACCGCAGGTCAAGCGCGCGTCCTTTTAGCCAGACTGCGTTTGAGTCTTACCATTTTTTTTACGCATTCTGTTGAGCAGCAAAATTGGTAGTTCCCCGCTGATCATGCTGAGAACCAACCAACCTGATGTACGAATAAAATGCGCCAAATCGAAAGGCGAAAAAAAAACGCTACGCCCCCAAAGGAATCTTGCAAACTTCTAACGTTAAACGGGGCATTCTGTGTGGCGTCATACTCAATGTCATCGTGCAGTGCACCGGATCTCCGAATGATCTGCAGAATCTGCAGAGGCATTTCATAGGGTGCCACGACGCAGATTCCAAGTTTGGGCCAATTTGGTTTTTCTTCTTCGGCGTTCACTAATATCTCCTTAGTGATTGGTTCTTCATCTGCTTTTAGGTGAACAGAGGATTGATACAGCGATCTCACTAAGCGTTCGACACATGTGTGGTGCCGCCATAGCTTTAGTCCACCGGAAATTACGCGCAGACAAAGAAACTTCTTGGTCAGTGGTGTAGCGTGCGAGTATACTTTAGTCTCCTTAGTGCCAGTAGGTTCGCGTAAAAAGATAAACATTCTTTAAACGAAAACAAAGTACTCTTAAAAGTAAACGTGTGTGAGTTGATCAAGCGCAGTAAATTTGAGGCAACGTTTTGAGACGTGATCCAAGGATGTTGTGATACGAGACCGGTACCCGTTCGAGACGTCAGCACAACACTACAGACGGATTAGACTCAGAGGCGGCGAAAGCGTTTCTTTCCTTATTTGGAAGTGTGGTACAATCCATTTCTTGGCGCATGTTTGTCTTAATGCCTTTTGATGGCGACAATTTAATCAAGGGGCTTATGAGTCGCTGCTTTGTACCGGTCACTCCTCAAGTTCACACCTTCGAGATCGAAACAAATCGAGGACGAATAACGAGGTGGTTGAAGAACAAATTCTCGCGACATTTACGTGCGAAGGTGACGGTGCCAAATAAGACAGATTTTCATTGCCGCCATTATAGTTTATCGAGAGTGAAACTGGTTTTTGAGTCACCAGATGGCACTGAATTTTGAAAAGAGGCCTATTGCGTTCACAATTGTCTATTGTGATTTGCCTTTTGGCGTTCTTATCGGTTGAGAAGAACGCCTCACTCATGTACACACACCAGAATTGTGATGCCATTATTGATAAGGTGCACACCTAAGTCGACACTAAGTAAGCGAAAGCTCACACTGCAGCACTCGGGAATATTTTGGCTTCAATCACAACGGAGCAGATCAAAACGGGTAGGGATGGGGATCACCCCTGTCCGTTTTGATCTGAATGAGCATCGTACCGGCGTGCGGTCGTCTGTCACTACTGCGTGATGCACGTTAAAGGGGGTTAGGCCACGGAAATTAAACGGGTAGATTATTCTTGAAATGGAATATTCATAGGCTACTTAGAATATACACCAAGTTTTGCTATATTTTAGAGCTCGAGTAATCGCAACAATCAATTTACAAATTTTGATGATTTTCATCTGGCGACCAGCCAACACTTCCAAATTTAGGCACACCATGGTGCCAAGAAACGGCATGACCGTGAACGCTCTCTCACTCTGGGCGGCACTGTGATTGCCAAAGCTCGCCTTGCCGCAGTAAGATCAAAACCTCTCACGCAAACTCGGCTAATTTAACGCTAGTCCTGCTCACGCCCCCGGCCCTTCGACCTTTCACCCTGCATGCACCTGCGAGATTGTCACGGACGACGGCGACCGCGGCGATTTCGTTCATGACGATCGCGTAGCGGTACGTAGTCAAAATGACCAGCTTCCAACATATCTTGATAACAATCACTCTCAACACTGCTGCGATTAGTGTCGGAGATTTCGACGAAGCGAGCGATAAGCCGTAGACGTAAGCGTCACGAACCGCATGCTCGAAACGCCGAAAGCAAACGAGCGAGTTGAAGCTAGAGACGCCAAGAGAGCCAAGTTTGCGAGTGCGTGCAAAGGGCGCCACGCGTTGCACTGGTGACGTCACCAACCCAACAACCATGCCGGCCTTTTCGAATGGGGCGGATCCTGCGGTCCAGCGTATAGACGCTCTGCTGTAGCTGTACATGGGCGCCGCCATAACCGACATTCAGTTTTTATTTCCTTTTATTCCAATGACTTCAGTTTATGACTACCACAGCACGCTATGTCGTTGCCTTTTTAGATTTTATTGTGTCCTGCTCAGCATTGGCCTTTGTGCAGGCTCGTCAAGGCCCGTTTCAGTGGCTCAGTACTTCCTTAAGACAAAGGAAGGTCAGCAATGGAGGCTGTAATCTGACGCTTGTGCAAAGCTTGTAGAAATCAATTTATTCACGAAACATCGCGTCATGTTCAAAACAAATTTATCATAAATATAGGAACATGCAATGTGTCCTAGCAGCTATCTCATATTTTATTTTGGGCGTGTCCTACATAACCTTTTTAGAGACCTCAGGCTAGCAGTGGGTACTGCATTGGCTAAACTTCTAATGGAGAGCGTTAACTGGAAACACCCGTTGGGGGCTGACTAACCTCACGCGTCCTAAACATACACCTAAACATACACATAACACCATTACAATTACTTGAACCTCATCGAAATGTGTTCTCGCTCTCCAGGGCGACTCCGGAGGTCCCTTGATGTCACGCTTCGAGGACGGGAGGTTCTTCCAGGCCGGGATCGTGTCGTACGGCATCGGATGCGCGAAGAAGGACATGCCGGGGGTGTACGCCAGGATGGACGCCCTCTCTCCCTGGCTCACCGAGAACATCGCAAACTACGACGAGTACGAGACACTGCAGTGAAGCCTTCGACCCTCGCCGACATCCGACTCCCCCCGCACTTTCTAAGCCCCCCCTACACTCTAAAAACAAAACAAACAAAAAAAACTACACTAGCCTAATTGATTATGCTGACAAAGCCGGGGAGCGCCGAATATCTGACGCCACGTGACATCATGAGGTCACATGACATCATAAGGTCACATGATGTCATGGCGTCACGTAACGACACGCTGTTACGTGATGTCACGGTGTATCGTGGCGCCGTGAAGTCTCGTGATGTCGCAGTCATCTTGACGGTTCTTCGCGACGGTTTTCTCGTAGAATTCGACAGATAAAACATTATTTTCGTTAAAAGTCTGGGGGGTGTAGTTCATGTGGAACACGGAGACGACCTATCACGGGGCAAAATAGAAGGATCCCAGCGAACGTCGGAGCTCATAATACGGTAAGATTTGAGAAATATAAACGATTTGCGCAAAAACAATGCGCGAGTGAAACGTCATGCTCGAGACCCCGGGGCCCATTGCGTTGATTGAGCTTAACTGCATTCTGAGCTACGTCATTCGCTCCGATCCTTCTACTTTTCGGCGTGTTTTGTTGCCTCGTATTGTACAGAAAAGCACGCTCGTAATCCTTACTTCACACGTTTCATCGATTCCCCAACAAGACACTCCCGAATAAAGGCAATTTGAACGGACTGAGGAATCCCAAAATATTGCGAACAAATGAATGTTGTTGTTGTTTTATAATCATTGTAATTTTAATAGTTTAATCGCGCCACATATGTATTAACGCGTTCTTTTTGTGTTAGGAAATCAAAAAGTAACCGATTGAAAGGTGTTACAGATGTGGAAAAGAGTGATAGTAGTGCACAAAACCAGGGATTGAAAGCCCACTGAGCAAGATCTGAGGCATTGAGTCTCCTAATATTTTCTTTTCTTTTTCTTTCTATATTTTATCAAAGTCTTTATTAAAAACAAATACGGCCTCTTAACGTAGTTCTTAACATAGGGTGTCACAACAGAAAATTTACAGGGTTGTTTTCACCACAAAAATAAACTAAGCATCGCCGAACGCTCATTCTCCGCCCAAAGGTATACCGCTAGAGGTCACAATCAGATGCCAAAATTTCAGCCCGATCCGATACCTTATTCAAAAGTTATAAGTGTTTTTTTGAAAATTTCAATAGAAAAATGGAGCGCATTTTCGCCCGTTTTCGGTTTCCGGTGCCCATAGAGCCCCATGTATTCGAAAACTCCGTCGGCCGCCATTTTCCCATTGAAATTTTCAGAAAATCACTTATAACTTTTGATTAAGGTATCGGATCGGGCTGAAACTTTGGCATCTCGTTGTGACCTCTCGAGTTACCTTTTGGGCGGAGAATGAGCGTTCGGCGATGCCTAGTTTATTTTTGAGGGAAAATAAACCCTGCATATTTTCCTTTGTGACGCCCTGTATATAGGGTGACCCAATCCATCACGCTCGATCTAAAACGGACCGTAAAAGTCGACCCCTGCACGTAGCAATCAAAACTTTTCGTTAAGAGTGTATTTCACAGGTCGGTTTTTTCTTGTACGATTAGAAAGCGTAGCTCCCTTTCTGTAAAAAATAATGTCAAGAAACTTGCCAGCGTCTACGGCGGGCGGTGACGCAGACGACCAAGTCCAGTAGCGGGGTGTGTTAGGCGTTCGTATTGATAGATGGCGCTACCTCCCTATCGCGACGGCTCGCGACCACCGTGGCTTATTAAAATGAACATAATCTTTTTGAAATGCACCTTTGGGTAAAAAAATGCGGACAATAAAAGGAAAACTTAAAGTAAAAAAAACGCGCCTGCTTAACGACGGCGTTTTTGTCAGCGGATTTCGTCTGCGTGTCGTCTGCTTTCTTTCGCTGGACGGCCGCACCTTCGGACGCTGCTCTCGTCGCCATGTATCAATACGAACGCCAAACACACCCTGCTACTGGACCCCTGTCGTCTGCGTTGCTGCCCGCTGTAAACCCTGGCAAGTTTTTTGGCCTTATTTTTTTACAGAAGGAGAGCTACGCTTTGTAATTTTAAAAGAAAAAAAAACCGACCTGGTGATATACACATTTGACGAAAAGCTTAGATTGCTACGTGCAGGCGTCGATTTTTACGGTCCATTTTAGACCGGGCCTGGTGACTTGTACCACCCTATATATATTTATTTTTCAGTACGCTCATAAAGGAAATTTAGAAACCATCTTGCCATTTCCTACCAAACTTCACAGCTACTCGCGATATTTTACTCGCCACGGCTCCCTCAAAGCTATGCAATCGCATCTTGGAGGTAGTTATTTCTGCTGCAACACTAGAGCCTAAACCAGTGGCGCGCTTAGTCAAACAATTAAAACATTTTAACTGATCATCGCCACTAACCAGATTAAGGTCGTCGATACAGTCTCAGTTGTTTAGCACTTGAACACTGATAAGATCCTAAACAAAATCTAAACTCCTAAACGAAATCTAAACTTCTGGTGTATCTCCATCGGCTTTTTTTTTCCTGGGCACGCTCGTATTAATGGCTGTGCAATCACCGCAACCCACGTAGAGAGGCTCTAAAAGGTTTCTTTGTGTGAACATAATAAGTCACACCCTGCGTCCCTCCAGCTGTCAGTGACGCCACAAGATTAACAGTTCCGATCAAAGTTAAGGATATTTTTTAAACATCCATATCCCAGATTCTGAAACAGCAATAAAATATTTATAACACACACGGTGTGCCTGTTTCTCATTTAGTATAGTCTTCGTGTAGAGATATTACCAAAAAATTGAAACACAAATATTCTTAAATATAACAAAAATTAAGGAATCCGAATTTAACATGCTAGCGTTCTTCGTGGACCGTCTTACGAATCATAATTCTGGCCTAGGTGGCTTCCTGGTTGTTTTGAGATCTAAACCAATCATTATTGGGAGGAGACCAGACCGCGGCGCCCCAAACGGCTAACTTTGGAACTACACAGATGGGGACAACAAATAACAATGACTCAGCGCTCGGCTGACTTAGCCGAAGGCCGCGTCAGCGCTCGGCTGGAGTTCGTGTTCTCCGGTCGCCTGAGGGGGAGGAGGGGCTCTTAAGTTACCACTCCGGCCTGCATGAACAATGTAGCATGCACGGTACATGTCCCCAGCTCAGTACAAAAGCCGAAGTGGGTCAAGCCCGCATTCCCTGACGACTGCTTTCGGGAGAGATCCGCACTAACAGTAAACGTCACTTCGTTTATTGTTAGAATCTTTCCGTTAAGACATGAACATGCCCACAATGCCTGTGGGCACGTCCACAGGCCTTGTGTTGGGTAAACACCGAGGTGTGGGGACAACAAATTAAGTCCCTCAAAACAACAAACGGGTCAGAGCGCCCCCTATAGCTTGATCTCCTCGCCAATAGGAAGTGACTACGTCCTCCAGATCTTAAAACGACAATAAAACAGTTTTTCTACTGTGGCTGTAACTAGTCCGTAATATTACTGTTGCAAGTTTGTAAAGCAATCCAATATCATAAGTGTGTCCGTTAACTATAGCAGCTCTTACAAGAAAGAAATCATTTATTTCGCAAACATTACTCTTTGCTCTTCGACTATTAATTTAGTCCATGAACAGATTGTCGCGGATTGAAAAGGCCTAAAGTAAAACCAACGAAAAGAGAATCATTCCAGTCAAATTACCCGGCAGTAGGACAGAAGCAACATAGGATTCCTCTTAACTGAACGGTTCATGGAAAATTCACGATGGCATGCCCATGAGAAAATCGCACGAGGGACAAAATGGTCATCAATTTTACCACCTGTATTTTCTTACTTCCTTAGCAGCTTTTACCCTTAAAAGTTATTTTAAAGTAATAACTTTATAGACTTTGTCCGTCTACCCTTGTCCCCAGTTACGTAGTTCCCGGCCGCATTGTACACGGGCGACGATAAATGATATTTTTTTCGCCCACAATGGGTGGCGAAGAAACGAAAGCGATAGCTGTAGCATGGTCGCGCAATGCGGGTGGGATGGTGCCATCACGTGCTTGAGGACGGAGATGTGGCGCGCTTAATTCTCATAGCCGTCGTACTTGGCGTTGTGGATGCCCCTGAGGTTAAAACGCGCCCCAGTGACGCACGCGCAACGCCTGCCGGCCGGCGCGGCAACCACCTGTTGCTCTGCGTGACGACGCAGCGTCCTCGTCGAGGAGCAGCCAGTCCGGCGCGAGCGGCGTAGCCATGCCGCGTATCGCCTACCGTTTACAAATACGCGGTTCTTTAATATTTCGCCCTCTCCAACACACACACACACGCTCCTACACTGAATAGGGACAGGCGCTGCTTAACAGGCTAAGAACTGCGGATTACTGAACTATTCTAGTAAGCGCAGAGGCATATCACGGTCAGGTTGTACGCGCGTCTGAATTACAGAGAAAATAATGCAATACCCCAAGGAAAAGGTGCATGGACGAAAGGTAAGATAAGTATTTTATACATTCACAATTCATTCGCTGCGTGTCATATTCTATACTATTCCGATAGCGAGTGCTGCTTGCTGAAATCCCTCACGACAGGACTCGCACCCTTTCAAAGAGCAGTCTACAATGCAATACTTCTTCAATCCGATCTGCTGGCATACAAACGCTATTTTAAACCTTTCCCCCCCCCCCCCCCCCCCCTTTTCCGCCACCCCTCAAGTGCTATCGTAGCTTCATTGAACCTGATGGAATGACTGAGCCAGGCGATTTGTTTCGCTGGACGGAAGGAATTTGCACATAACTTCCCCGGGCCACTAAAACGTTCTTGATAATGTCTAACAGAGAGAATTCCAGAATCGTCGGAATATTACTTTCATAAATTCTTTTGATCTGGTGGTCGAAGACTAACCGCAAAACAACGAGAGTTTCAAAGGCAGGCCCGTACACAAGTCTCTACAGGTAAGTTTTTAGACTTCCATGCTTTATAATGTATGCCACGTTAGCAATGCCTCTCTGCTGGAGTCGCCATCAGTTCTGACACCATCCGAGCAACAACGCAGAATAATCGTATAGGCAGTGGGTTGGAATCCTACTTATCCATCTTCTTACTGGAACCTGATATGGTAGTAGCTCTCCTTTGCGTTAGAAGTGCACCAAAAAATTTATAAATACATAGCATTTATAAGGCTAGCCCTTTGGTAGTTCGTGTCTACTCTTTGGATGTGGCGTAGATGCCGACATCACGCTGCTCACGTCACGATGCTCATAACAGTTGCTATCTGACCATGGTGCTTGTAGCGTGACGATTCCTAGAAGAAACTCTCGGGTCATCCTTTTTTGCGTTAAACTCTGAAGTCACGTGGCGCCGTGACTTCGGATAACACTGTGACGTCATGTGACAGTGTGGTCTCACATGGCACTGGCATCACTTCACATTTTGACACCTTGTGACATGTGACGTCGTGTGATCTGGCATAACGTATATGTATGGTCCCGGGACGACGTGCTTTTATGGCTCAAGACTGTCCTACTTGTGTCAAGAATTTAACTTTTTTTTAAAGCACATTATATTTGCACGCAGGTTCCGCTTTTATATAAAACGTTCAATCAAAGATTTGTCCATTTTCTTTATCTTTTCAGAAAAGGGCTAAGTTCACATACCGAGAAAACGGTTTACAGCGGCGCGTTCCGGCAACCAGCAGCGCGGGAATCTATGCCAGTCTCCCCTTGCAGAAGTGGGGGCTGTCATTTAGCGCGTTTTAAATGGCGTGCCATCCACGCGAACCTAAAGAATTAATATTGCGATATCTCACTCTAAAGGCTAGTTCACACGCTTGCTTTTGAGTGTGACTGAGTGCCTCAACTGTGACCGCTTATGAACGCTTACAACGAGGACGACGGTGACGACGATGATGATGATGTCTGTTATAATAATTAAGGCCATTGACGACAAGAGGGCACACCAGTGCCATCTATCTGGTAGACTTGGATCCCAATCGACCTATCCGCATTTCCTCACCTTTTACGCATATTTCTTATCGCCGTAGGTTTTAAGTAATTATTACGAGGTTATAATGAATCATTTTTCGTAGATAGTGCGCGGGTTTGATCTCGCAAATACTGAAAAGCCTTCAGTCACTGATAAGCGGATTGGGGGCACTTCCAATGCTACCTGATAAATGGCGTCCGTGTGCCTCTGTACAGAGCCCTCAATTGCTCGATCGCGTTTGCAATACGAGGTGCGAGGAGGTGCACCGAAAGCGGTGATCGTCTGCGAGCGTCCCTGCCTTTCCGCCGTTAAATTGCAAACGTTCCTGTGCTTCGGGATGGACCCTCTCTACCATTTAGGCTTTCTAGTACTCTCTTAGAAGAGTAGATTGGAGAGATGGTCCATCTCAAATTTTGGGGAGTGTTTGCAAACTTAATGGTGGGTGTCACCTGTGGAGACCGGTCGCAACTACGCATGCGTTGCGTTTTCATGTGGCGAGGAGGAAAGCAGAAGGAAAAGCGGAGACGTTGGCAGACGATCAACGCTTTCGTCCTCTCCTCGCAGCTCGTAGTGCAAAGTGCGGTCCATAAACCACGTGACCCCCATCGAACGGGGGGAAACTCCCCGTAATGCAAGCTCCCTAGTCTAGACCTTTACAGCGTCAATCTCGAACGATGTGATTTACAGCGCGAGTCCCTGGTTTTGAGAGTGTACATCAGTGTTGCCCGACTGCGCTGGGCCGTGGGTTTCCTTGTCAGTGGGCTGTGTGCCTAAATTGCTGCGTTGTATTTTTTTTTATGGCAAATAGAATTTTTTTAGACTTTTAAGAAAGCGTTGTACCATTTTGGAGACAACAAACAAATGAAAGTTATTTTTGGAGAGTCCGTGCGCGACAGAACAAATGCAACTGGAGTGTGTTTCATTTTATGCTGATTGTTTCCGACGCCATAGACTCGGCCGCGTCGATCTACAAAGGTATTAACCGTCGAAAATATTTGACCACATAGTTAAGATGGCCGAAAGACATGGGTATTCACAGCTCGCAATATGAAATTCAACGAGTCTCATCAATCGAATAACATATATCGTACGTACCCCACGGGACGCGTTATCCGAACGGGATTTATTTGAGAAAAATATGAAGCGACACAGCATATCCCATATACAATGTCGACTACAGTCACTTCACGACAATCGGACAGAATCCGGCTTGTTTTAGGGCACGTTTTGAAGAGAGCTGATTTCTCGCACATCACCAAAAGAAATGAAGGCGCCCCCTTAATTTGCAACCACACCTGGGACTCAAGAATACTCGCACGCAACGCCACTGGCCGAGAAACTCCTTTGTTGAGGTGTAATTTCAGAGACAAAAGCGATCATTTTCATTCAATCTCTCCTTTGCAAAATTTGATGACGTAACGCGGGGATCGCAGTACACCCAAGTGACGATATTTGAATGCGGTTCATAGATTGGACCCGAGCATTGCGTGGGCACTCGATTTGGGCTCGTGATAATTGCTAGCTCGAGAAGCATTGGGGTGGTGACCCGTGTCCAATTGCTGCAACGACGACAACAGCCGAGCCATAACAATGTCTGGAACTCAGCGCGTGTCCTGCGCTTTGCCAACCCCAGCGCGTGGCTATGATCAACACTGGCGGCATATAATCGGCTCCAGATCACGCGGCCACTTGTTCTGGCTGCGAGTTGAGGGGGTGAACGCTGCTGGTTTTTCTTAAATTTTTTTCTGGGACTTCTATTGCGTGGGGTGAAAAACGAACGCGTGTTTCATAGGTCATTAACGTTAGGGATCCGTTTTAAGCGGCATTTGCGCAAAGTACAAAAATTGTTGCATCGCTCCTTTAAATATTGAGGACATTTCTCGCTAAATGTGGATACGCGCCCGACTACACATCTCACAGGAAATGAAGACCAAGGAGCATGTGCTAAGAAGAAGAAGAAGAGAGGCTACCGGCGCGAGCAGAGCTAGTTGGAACCGTTGATCGATGCAACATCAACCTTCAAGAGCCCTCCATATGTCGAGACTGTAAATATGTTGTATAAATCTCTTTTGTAAACCGGAGTGATCTAAATTATCGAATATTTTGGTGCCGAAACCCGGGACTCCAGCGCCAATACGAGATCAGCGAACAGCGAACATGGAGCGGCTCCAGACGAAAAGGTTGGTGACGCAAGCCGAAATTGGACATCTAAGCGAGGAGATCCAAGCGGCGGTGTCAATTGAGGATTTCAGGCCTCATCACGAAGAACGCCTCGCAGAAATAACGGACGAGCTGGATGTCCTGGCAAGGGAACTCAAGGAGCAAGATGCGCTCATCGTGGTCCACGTAAAGAGCGAGCACCTCGCCGAAGAATACAGGGCCGTCAGGGAGACACAAAGTGTGATCACCCGAATGCGGACACGTCCTCGACGCCTAGAGACAAGGACATCGTCAGCTATCGAGAGCAGGGTCACCGAGACCACAGAACGATCGACCACTCAAACCCAGAGCCGAGCTGGACAGCTTAAACTTCCAAAGCTCGAACTCCAACGGTTTGATGGAGAGAAGTTGAATTAGCTTCCCTTCTGGGAGCAGTTCCGACAGGCGATCCACTACAACATCGAGCTCTCCGGCGTGGAGAAGTTTCTATACCTGCGGACGGTGCTGACGGGCAAGGCGGCGGCGGCGGTAAGCGGCATTCAAGCAACAGAGAGCAACTACGCTTATGCCGTGGAGCTTCTAAAAGAGAGATTTGGCAAGAAACACGTCCTTGTTCAAGAACACCTCACGCGGCTGCTGAACCTACCAAAAGTGAAGGCGCTGAGTGACGTCGGAGCCCTCCGTCGTTTACACGATCACGTTCCTTGCAACATCGCTTCGCTGAGGACTCTGGGCATCGACTCTGACAGCTACGGGGCAAAGCTGTGTGCTGCGTTGTTCTGCGTCCTGCCCGCTGACTTGGCCGTGGAGTTCTACAAGAGTCAGAGTACTAGTAATGAAACACCGGAAAGCTCGAATCTTGAGGCTGTCCTGCGATCGATGCGTGTAGAGCTGGATAGCAGAGAGAAGGTATACGACGGCAATACACGGGACCAACCGCAACCTCTGAAAATACACAGCGACAGAGATCGATCAAGCGACAACCTCCGAGGAAAGGGGTCTGCTGCTTCCCTCGCAGTTGGTGCCAAACCCTCAAACGACGGGTGCCCTCTTTGTTCCTCCGAATTACATGAAGCGCCGCAATGTAACTCTGCGATTCCGATCGAAGAAAAGAAGAGACGGCTAAGGAGCGAAGGGAGGTGTTACAGATGCGCGAAGCGAGGACACACCTCAAAAGAATGCCGAAATCGGTTCCTTCGCTGCGACAAATGTGGCCGACGCCATATCACTCCACTTTGTGGTACGTCACCTCCGTCTTATCAAGGAGCGACCGGCACTACCGAGCTCCACTCCCTGGCGTCTTTGAATGCCATCAACAAGAACGCCGTAATGCTACAAACGGCTCAAGTATGGGTAGACGGACGTGACCGGAAGCGTCTTGCTCGCTGTCTGTTTGACGGAGGCAGCCAACGTTCATTCGTCACCGAGCAGCTCTCACGAAAGCTGAGGTTGGAAGTGATCGGCGAGGAGGAGGTGACCATCTATTCGTTTGGCAGAACAGCCGGTGGAACTACGAGAAAACGTCGGCTAGTGCGACTTTGGTTGCGAAGCCAATACAGCCGCAAAGAACACTGCTTGGAAGCCCTTGAAATAGAAAACATCTGTTCTGACCAGTTGGTGCTTCCCGACAACGTGGTTGACCTTGCTGGCGTGGGAGAGCTAGAATTAGCCGATGTAACCCTTTCACCCTTCCTTAATTCCAAGCGGAGCATTGAAATCCTAGTGGGGGCAGATCACTATTGGAATATGGTGAGCGGGGAAGTCCGCAAGATACACGGATCCTTGGTCGCGCTGAAGACGGACTTTGGCTGGACACTGCAGGGCCCAGTTCCTCAGGTTTCTTCTGTGCTGTCCTGCACTACTGTGGCCGTCTTGAACACCGGCGTCGCAAAACCGACCTTGAGCCTCTCAAACGAACTGCGAGCCTTCTGGGAGTTGGAGAGCCTCGGAATCTCCGTGAACGACTCTCCGCGCGGAAAAGAAGAACAAGTAAGAGAAGATTTCACTTCCTCCCTAGCTCTGGTCATGGGCCGTTATGAGGCAAAACTCCCGTGGAAGCCCCTAAATCGACCCCTAGAGAACAACGAAGCCGTTGCGCTACAGCGACTAGACAAGTTGGTTCGGCGTTTAAAAGGCAACACCGAAAGACTGACGCAGTACGACTCAGCGATCCGTAGCTACCTGAAAGAAGGTTTTGCTGAAAAAGTGCCAGCAGGCGAGGTGGATACCACTTGGAAACGAGTTTACAACTTGCCTCATCGTGCTGTTTTTAGACCTGACAGTTCTACGACTAAGATACGCATCGTGTTTGATGCGTCTGCAAAGGCGCCGGGCTGTCTGTCCCTCAACAATGCATTGTCTACGGGCCCAAGCCTCAATCCGGACATGTTACAGCTGATCATCAACTTCCGACGTCCAGCGATTGCCTTCACCGCAGATATTGAGAAGGCCTTCTTACAGATTCTGATCAAGCAGGAGGATCGTGATGCCCTTCGCTTTTCGTGGTACGCACGTTCCCCTACAGAAGACTTCAAAAGTTCGGAGATTGAAGCAATGCGCATGACGCGCGTCCCATTTGGTGCAAAGAGCAGCCCTTTCATGCTGCCAGCGACTATCAAGCACCACCTGGCCAACGTCTCAGATGGCTTGTCTGAGACTGCAAAAGTACTGGACGAGTGCCTTTACGTGGACGACTTGATTGCTGGCACTGAAACGCTTGAAGAAGCAACAAACTTCTACAAGGAAGCCAAGCAAATATTGAGCGCAGCAGGAATGAAGCTCAGGAAGTGGAGTTCCAACAGCGAGTCATTGCAACAACGATTTGACGAAGATGGGGTTGGAAGCCTCTCCTTTGATACTGCCACACCGAGGTCAGGTGTGACGCGTGTTTTGGGACTTGAGTGGAATAGAGAGAGGGACGAGCTTAAATACTCGTTAGAGAGCACGTTGGAGCTTCTGATAATCAACCGTGACACAAAACGCTTTGTACTGCAAGCATCAGCGAGAATTGTCGACCCCTTCGGCCTCCTCAGCCCAGTGACGATAACAGCCAAGATCTTATTTCAAGAACTTTGGGCACTTGGGCTGGACTGGGACACTCCGCTACCTCCAAGCGTAAGTCTGAGATGGAGCAACTGGATAAAAGCTCTGCATCATCTCGAGGACATTTCGATCCCTCGTCGCTATGCTTCATCCGGCGGTCGAACTGAGCTGCATGTCTTCACAGACGCTAGCCCCCAGGCCTATGGGACAGTCGCGTATTTGCGTAGTGACTGTGATAACCAGACGACAGTGACCCTCGTAATGGCCAAGGCGCGCGTTGCGCCAGTAAAGACCTTGACTCTACCGAGACTGGAACTGATGGGAGCGTTGCTGGGCGCTCGACTATGTGTCTACTTTAAGGGAGTTTTTAAGTCGGATCTCTCAGAAGTGTCGCTGTGGACAGACTCAATGATTGCTCTACACTGGGTAAAGGGCCTGGCTACTCAGTGGAAACCATTCGTGGCAAACCGAGTTATGGAGATTCAACAAAGGACAGAACCCAGTAACTGGAGACACTGCCCTGGAGCTGAGAACCCGGCGGATTTACTAACCAGGGGCGTCCCTCCGGACTGTCTACAGAAGTGTGACCTATGGTGTGAAAGGACCAAAGAGGCTGGCAGAGTCACCCACATGTTGGCCTACTATGCCCATTGGTAGCCAAGATACCGCAGCCAAGGAAGAAAGAAGAACTTCAGAACTAACTGTGAGCCACACTGCTACGAGCTCCTGTACGCCTGTGGTAAACATCGGAAAGTTTGGAGAATTGAATCGCCTACAACGGGTCACTGCTTGGGTGCTACGTTTTGTCAATAATTGTAGACACACAAAAGAGAATTTCCAGGGTCCACTCAAACCTGAAGAGATAAGGGAGGCACGTCTTAGGTTGCTCCGTCAAGTTCAAAGGGAAGCCTTTGAGGATTAACTAAACCAACTATAACGAGGCGAACAGTGCAGTGGCTCGTCAGAGCTGCGCGCTTTGAATGTATTTATAGATGACAGAGGGCTGCTACGACTGAGAGGACGCCTACAACATTCAGACCTCGGTTATGAGACGGCACATCCTGTCGTTTTGCCTTCGACGCACCACTTTGTGGAACTACTGATTTTTAGCACACATCGACGGCTGCTACATTCAGGGTGCATGGACACTCTAACTCAGCTGTGTGAGACGTTCTGGATTATACGAGCTCGACAAGTAGTTAAGAAGGCCTTGAGCCGTTGTCTTGTCTGCAGAAGGATGAGCAGCAAGAGTGCGACTGAACCAGTCGCGCCACTTCCACGAGACCGAGTGTTGGAGGCGGACCCTTTTGCAGACACGGGACTCGACTTCGCCGGACCTGTCCTCACCAAGGACGAAGGCAAGATAAAGAAATCATACATTCTGCTACTGACCTGCGCAGCCACTAGAGCAATACATCTGGAGGTGGTGAGCGACTTGTCTACAGCTAGTTTCCTTTTGGCATTTCGTCGCTTTGTGGCCCGTCGCGGACTATGACACACGATCTACTCTGATAATGCACAGACTTTCCACCGAGCGTCTGCTGAATTCAGAAAGATATGGAAAACAATGAGAGAACAGGAGTCACTCAACTACCTGTCCAGTCAAGGCATCAACTGGAAATTCATCGCTCCACGAGCGGCTTGGTGGGGCCGGTTTTGGGAGCGAATGGTTCGATCAGTTAAGACCCCTCTGAAAAAGGTTCTGGGGTGCAGTTACGTAACTTATGAAGAGCCGAGCACCATATTGACGGAGATAGAGGCTGTGATTAATTCTCGACCTTTGACCTCCATCTCCTCTGACCCGAACGAACCAGAACCATTGAAACCCGCACATTTCCTTGTCGGTAAACGACTGACTTCCTTGCCAACTCGTGGAGGAGAGCCAATGTTGTCATCAGCCAACGATCTAACTCGCCGTTGGAAGTACCGTGAGACGCTATCGACCACCCTATGGAAGCGCTGGCGCCAGGAATATCTCTGTACTTTAAGGTCATTTCATCACAGCACATCGGCAGCCTCGAGTAATTTACGGGTGAATGACTTGGTGCTACCGCATGACGACTTCCACCCGCGACAAACCTGGAAAATTGGCCGCGTCGTGCAAGTGTTCCCGGGAGGAGACGGCCACGTCCGATCCTGCGTGGTCCGTTTGTCAGGAGGAACAACGATTAGACGTCCCATTCAACTGTTACATCAACTGGAAGCTCATAACGAATGAGCAATGCTCATTCGGCGGGGAGGATATTAAATATTGAGGACATTTCTCGCTAAATGTGGATACGCGCCCGACTACACATCTCACAGGAAAAGAGGACCAAGGAGCATGTGCTAAGAAGAAGAGGAAGAGAGGCTACCGGCGCGAGCAGAGCTAGTTGGAACCGTTGATCGATGCGACATCAACCTTCAAGAGCCCTCCATATGTCTAGACTGTAAATATGTTGTATAAATCTCTTTTGTAAACCGGAGTGATCTAAATTATCGAATACACTTCACGACGATCGGACGGAATCCGACTTGTTTTAGGGCACGTTTTGAAGAGAGCTGATTTTCCGCACAGCACCAAAACAAATGAAGGTGCCCCCTTAATTCGCAACCATGCCTCTAACCTCAATGCCTCCCCTAACACCCCCCCCCCTTTCCCCTACTTTCAGTTCCTTGGGAAACCCCTGATCTCACCAAAAATCATCCTCGAAGAACGTCGAACGGCCGGTGTCGCGGGCTGCTTTACTTTGGCTGTCTTCGTTCGTTTCCCACGAAGACCGAAAAGGCTACGAGCCCTGATATTGCCTGGTTCTCATAGTGGAAGATAACACAAAACGTGTAAGCATCCTGGACAGGCAACTAAAGTAAAAACTTTCAAGAAAGGCCGGCGAACTACAATGCATGTCGGGAGTCCCGCCGACCGGGTTTCCACAGCTCAGGCGGGTGGCAGAAATTTCTGGTTGATGGGGATCGTTCGCAAAATGGCGGCAGCCGGAGGGCTCTTTTTGAAAAATTCTATACTTTTTCGTCGTAAGCGGTTACGGGCCCTTGCAACGCATTAGTTCACGTTCAAGCGCAAATCCGCGAACTAGCTTTAATAAAAGAAGCGACATTGAAAGACGTAGATCAAGAAACTGAAGAGGCTGTTAATTCTTTCCTGTAGCCTCTTCTGCTTATTTTCATTTTACCAGCTGCGCAAAATGTCGGCCCACAAAAATGGTGACTCCGTAAGTTTCCTTTTCTTTATTTTCTTTTTTTTCGCTTTCCCCCTATGTTCCTTTTCGTCATAAATCAGGGCACAGTCAAAGCCTGAAGACGTACAAAACACACGAGTACACACTAAAAGCGCTAGGTAACGCCACATTTGCAGTTGGAGCCTGCCTACGAATCCCCAGTTGATGGGTTCGAATCCCAGCCGAGGTGCCGTCATTCTTACGGAGGCCTATCTCGGTGAAAGCGGGTGGGGATTCCACCACGCGAAATCCCCGCGTGGTAGAAATTAATCCTCAGTTCTTCGTTGCGGCGTAACAGACGGGGATTGAACGAAAAAAACGCAAAATATTACTTTGAATTTTATCTTTCCTGTTTTCGATTTGTTTAGACTTTGATTGTCTTCAGCCCAAACAGACCGCGAACGCTATGACGTTGCGCTTTTGGCGCAACTGGATTGGGTCCTTTGGCTTGTAGCGTTGGCGCAACTGGATTGGGTTTGGCTTGTAGCGTCCGGATAGGATTTCCGAGGATATCCTATCCGGATATCCTCGGAAATCCTCGGATCCGATATTCTATCCTCGGAAATCCTCAGATATCCTCGGATAGGATATCCTCGGATCCGGATACGAGGATATCCGGATCCGGATCCGGGTACCCTATCCGGATATCATAGGATAGGATATCCTACCCGGATCTGGTAGGATATTTGGGCAGGATATCCTATCCTATCATATACGGATAGGATATGATAGGATAGGCTATCCGGATAGCCTATTCTATTCTATCCGGACAGGATATTCTATCCTAAGATAGGATAGGATCTCCTATCCTATCCTGCTGTCTTCGTTCGTTACGTTACGTTACGTTCAGTTTTTCTTGCGAAATTCGCAAGAAAAACTGGCGATGCAAGGAACACCACTAACAAACGGCCGCCACTCTTGAATGAAAAAGGAGAACGGAAATGTTACGACTGCATAGGATAGGATAGGATCTCCTATCCTATCCTATGAATAGATAGATAGGATAGGATAGGATAGGATAGGATAGAATCCTATCCTAACCCAGGATAGTCGCTCGAGCCAATGGCGATCCTGCGAGCACTGTTGCATCCGACGGGTCGGTTACTAGCGATAATGTGATTCTGGTTCAGGCCTTTAGAAGCTCCCTTTTTCAATACCTACACGTTTATCTGAATTGAACTCTTGTCAGCCAGTATGAAAACTATGCTTAACGTTCATATCTTGATATTCGACTTAATACAACCCAGGTAAGTAGATATCATTATCTTTCTGCGATGCTCTACGAAAAAGACCCAATGAATACATCGGAAAAGTTGGAAATTCCGGCGCATGCCAAGGGACTTGCCGCTCGCTTCAAGCGTACCGAGGGATCTACCCTTTGCGATCTGTTCTGTCCGATATTCAGCGACATTTGCCAGCAAGAAAAGCTCCTACTTAATGGCGTGGACATCCGCATCATGCTGCGACAAAATACCGAAGACTTCATACTCTTGGCGGCTTCGACAATTAAAAAAAAAAGCACATTGTGCAGCTTCCTCGCATCGTTCTGTACATTCGACGAGTCCAAATGGCCCCGACGGTGCTTGTCGGAATCGAAAGACGACTGCAATCTACTCCCACATCATACCTGTTACGTGGAGTGAAGATCAAAACCAGAACCGTTTCTCCCGGTGTGTCACATATCGTTCTCGACGATCTCTATCCTCATCGGGTTCCCTCTAAGCTCGTCGTCGCGTTCGTAAAGAGTGAACCGCTTCAGGGAAGTCGCGAACACGACCTCTTCAAATTCGAAAACTTCAATCTGAAAACGGCCGTACTGTACGTCGGTGCGATTCAGCAGACGGAAAATTTCGATTTTAATCAGGATATTTATATGATGGCCTATATGAGCTTCCTGTATCGACTCAATCGAAAAGACGTTCCGTTCTCTAAAGTGTAGACTTCCCACAAGTAAGCGACCCCTTAAAGAAAAAAAAAAAAAAGACGGCGACGAGACCTCGTGAGCCGGAGCACTGTGTGTGCATGAGCACGTGTGAGACTGGAATGCCTGTGTGGCCATCGTGAACGAAACCACGGCTTGTGTGGCTACCCCAACCGCTTAAGTATTAAAACGTTACTTTTCTATTCTTTCTACCAATGCGAGTACCCTTTTTCTACCTTCTGATCTGAACGAAGACCAGAAGTTAACATCTTTGAAGTGGGATATGGATCGATGACTGCCCGGAAGTATCACGAGCTTCACGCTGCTTGACTAAATCGAAGATAGACAAAGACAAGCTTCCACACACGACCAGCTCAGCCGAAGCCACCGATCAAGGCGAAGGAGTCTCCGTGCGTGAACTTTTTAACGTGATCGTGGAAAAAGATCGTCTGCTGCAGGACTTATTGGAACGCCTGATTTCGACTACAGCAACGACATCATCAGCGGCGGTGGAATCGCAAGGCGTGACGACATTCCAAGTAATGCTCGACCTGAGTAAGAACATTTCAAAATTTGACGGCAGTGAGGACGCGCGGCATCAGCTTGTGAATGGGTGGAGAACCTGCGACGAACAGCGACGCTCCATAAATGGCCGTCATCATTTCTGCTCGAGAGCGCCAAGTCCCACATCACAGGAGCCGCCAAGGATTGGCTACGCTCACGCAGCGCTGACATCACCTCGTGGGAAGAGTTCGAGGACCAATTTCGCCGAACCTTTGTCAGCCAGACGCGTGCAGCGGAACGCTGGAGAAGGATGCAGGATCGCGTCCAGCAACGGAGCGAAAGTACAACGGCCTACTTACACTCTCAGGTTCGTTTGTGCAAGGAGGCGGGACTTGACTTTTGCGATACGCGGGAGCAAGTTATCACGGGCCTGCGTTCAAGACAATTAAGTACGATGCTGTTGGGAAAAATCCATGACGACGATGACGACCTCCTGCACGATATCCAAGAATTTGAGAGGATCGAACGCGAAAGGCAAGAACGTTTTGGTGGTCCCCGTGACAAGAAGAGCATGACCGACGCGGCGAGTATCCAAGACCCAGGTGCGAAATTCGCAAGAAAAACTGGCGATGCAAGGAACACCACTAACAAACGGCCGCCACTCTTGAATGAAAAAGGAGAACGGAAATGTTACGACTGCAACCAGTACGGCCACTTGGCACGGGACTGCCCCCAGCCTAAGCGACCCTTGAAGTGCCTGCGCTGCAACGGAATTGACCATACCCAACGTCATTGCAGAGAGGTGGCACAACCAGAGCGTAACGAGGCAAACACAGTGAGTGAACCATCGAATGAAACAGTGAGAGTTGGTGTTTTGCTGAAGCAAGTCATACTAAATGACAAGTTCTCCCTCATTGGACTTATTGACACGGGCAGCTCCGGCTGTTTACTTCGTGCGTCGGCGGCAGCTCGATGTGGCACAGAGCTTGTTCAGGAGTCAACACCCCTGTATGGTTTTGGAAACAGCGGCGTGCCTGTGTCTAGGAGCATTGGAGGATGCAAGGCTGACATAAAGATCGATGGTGTCCTAGCGAAGGATTTTCCAATTCTTGTTGTCCCGGATGAAGCCCAGGCGGTGGACCTATTGGTTGGACGAACGTTTACTGAACTGCCCTACTTGACATATGCAAGAGTTGGAGGCAGTTTTCGATTCTGGCACCTAAGCGACTGCCCGTTTGCGCACTTAGAACCGCTTGAGCACCACCAAGAACTACAACTGAAAGCAAGGGAGGAGGACATTCTCCAGAAAGACTCGGTCAACTGGATAACTTTGACGGCAGACGAAAGGGTCACAGGCCCTGTCATTTACAGACACTGCGGGACGGACGTTCTAATTGACATTACTCTCGATGAGGTGACGATACCTATGTATCCTGCAAGTAATGGTGATATCGTCATCAGGAAGAGACAACCACTTGGGCGAGCCAAGCAAGTTAAAATTTTGCCTGAAGTCCACACCGGTGGCGAGCAAGATAAGGCGAGCGAGACCGAGCGACGACCCATCCAGGGGACAGAATTGGACTTGCAGTAATCAAGGTGCAACAGCCTGAACTAGTAGAACTGTTGAACGAATTCAGAAAGTGCTTTGCAATGACGTCAAGTAATTGGGTTGCACATCAGTCGTGGAAATGGACATTATTGAGACTCTGGGTAGCACCTCTTTTGCTGTGCGACCATATCGTACAAACGCCGAAGGACGGGAAACAATACGGAAGACTGTTAAGGAGTGGAAAGATATCGGTGTGGCTACCGAGACAACATCCGATTATGCTAGCCCTGTGCTAGTAGTTAACAAGAAAAATGGACAAAAGCGGATGGTGGTCGACTACAGGAGACTGAGCTCCCAGACAGTGAAGGAGAGGTACCCTTTACCCAGCAGCTAGAAGACCTTCAAGAAAACGCACGCTGCCTGCTAGACTGCGAGACTGTTTAATGTGAAGTCGTTCACTAATTTTTCCTTCCGTGTGTGCTCATCTATTACTTTAATATTTGCGTGTGTCTTCAAACTGAGCGAGGACGTTACGGCTCCAGGACGGCCGAGTGTAGACTTCCCACAAGTAAGCGACCCCTTAAAGAAAAAAAAGACGGCGACGAGACCTCGTCAGCCGGAGCACTGTGTGTGCACGAGCACGTGTGAGACTGGAATGCCTGTGTGGCGATCGTGAACGAAACCACAGCCTGTGTGGCTACCCCAACCGCTTAAGTATTAAAATATTACTTTTATATTCTTTCTACCAATGCGAGTACCCTTTTTCTACCTTCTGACCTGAACGAAAACCAGAAGTTAACAAAAGGTGCCTTCTCAAAGGACTCTTTTCTTCTCTACTACAGCTTGACTCCCGACTGAGAAGAGCAGAGTTTATGTCTGATCCTCACAGCCAATGCGAGACTCACCCTGACTTTGAAACAAGACCTAAATTAAGCAGTCACGATCCTGTTCATGTCAGAAACACCACGCGTTTTGGAAATTGACAAGGAGAGACGGGTCAGGATCGCTAATTGAAGAAATGGAAGAACACAAGTTTTATTCAATGTTTGCAGGTAATCAGTGCACACGTCCCTGGTTTCGCGGTACCTTTTCTTCCGACGAGATTGGCCAAGAGAGACCAGCCCATGGTCATGGTCTTTACGTGCTTAACACGGCACCGAAATCATCTTCCGGCGAACACTGTTTTTTTTTCCTTATCTCCAAAGGACAATTCAATTAATTATTTTGACAGTTTTAATATGATTCCAATACACGAAGAATTTTACGACTTTATCGGAAGCGTTTCCAGCTTCTTCTACAACAAAACGAGAATTCAAAGATCTAGGTCAAGGACGTGTGGACTGTACTGTATATATGTCAGCGCTCTCCTGTGTTGTGGCGTACAGTTTCGCGAATGCACCAAGACGTTCTCGCAAACCGATCATCGACGGAACGATCGTTTGATACTTGTACTTGTGCGGAAACAATTTCCATCTCCCAAGCTGGAGCTATCCTGCTGTAGTGTTTTGTAATCTATTTTCATCTGTCAATAGTGTCAAATAAAGCAATCACAAAAGTAACGCCTGAATAGTTTTATTGAATGCACTCATACCAATTGAGAAATCCTCTACATAAAAACACAGACACGAATATACACCTTTAATTCAACAAAATTATATGAATACATTGACGCAATGACACTTTTTTCCGAACACACCCCCTTGTCCCGGAAGACGATATTTCCCCGGGTCAGGGAGGGTTGAAAGTCCTTTCTTTACGAAACGATGACCACGGGAGACATGTCTAGACGTGACAGCCTCCACAATGATGAATTTGACACCATGCATCGTATTAGGTTTCTGTTGCTTCCGCTTTTCGCTGTTTACGAACTGACGAACGCTTGAGCGCGATAAGCGGGAATTCGACACCAGGGTCGGCTGCTTCCGAGTTTGTGGCTATGATAAGCCGGTGCGAGCACGCTAACGGGTCGTCTCATCGTGTTTTTTTTTTTTTTTTTTTTTTTCTAAGGAAAAAAGTAAATCTATCCGGGCATATATTAAACGGGTAGATACACTGCCTCTCACATTTGCAAACGGGAGCGTCATGACGATCGTTCTCGATAAATTTCAATTTGAGACCCTCGCGTCTGTCACAATGATTGCTTCTTCGAAATCAGGCAAGAGCACGTATATTCGTAAATTGCTGCAATATAGAAAGGAAATGTTTGATAACAAGTTGTAGGTCATTTTCTACGTGTACGTTTACGAACAACCGTTTTTTAAAGATCTTCCGGACGTTGTGTTCACTAAGGACATTCCACAAAATTTGGATCCTGAAACAAACTCGCTGATTATTTTCGGCAACTTTCTCTGGAATAGGACAAAACTGAAGGAGATAGGCGAGTATTTCATAGGCGCTGTTCGCCACTATAACGCCTCCGTCATTTTCATTACTCAAAATATGTTTCACCAAGATTCATATTTTCGAACAGTCAGCTTAAATTCTACGGCTCTAATGATATTCCGTTCGGTGAGGATTGTCGATTAACTCCAAGTACTATCTCGACAGCTCTTTGGGGGAAAGAGAGGGTATGTCCTTCCACGTATATATTCGGACGCATGTAAAACACCAGTCAGTTGCATCCTGATCGACCTGTCGCAAACTTGTCCCAGAAGTCGTCTACGACACATCCTGATGAATCGTTTGAAGGGACATGCACGGTTTTTTCATCTATTGTCCAAAGCTAAATCGTCTAGACAAAGAAAAGTCCTTCGGGACGTCAAAAAGGGACACATAAATATCATTCGCGAAATTCGCTTAAACCTTTGCACAGGAAACGTTCCTCTCTCACCAAGTATAAAACAGAAGGTAAAGGTTTGTACCCCTCATGAAATCACTGGGAAACCGAAAGAAAAGTCACGAGAATATAAAAAGGCTATTGATAGAGCAAGGAGGCTTTTTACCTTTGATCCTTCCGGCTTTCTTGTGGCTATTATCTACGCTCGGAGGAAGAGCTAGCGCCAAAGCTATCGGAGTGTAAAAATGAAAGAGTATCATCTCGTATCTTACAAAGAAGAGCATATTCCTGATATTTTAAGAGAAGACGGGGAAGCTGATGACGTCAAACTGAAAAAAAATCATTCAGGCGCTTCATAAACGTTTACGTCCTACAGTTCGAATATTAACAACGTCACACATCCAGAATTAATTCCCTTTACAAGAGAACAGACGCCGCAGACGAAAGATGTCACGGAAGATCGCGACACCGATGCAGTCGTTAATGTTTTGAGCAAATCCTATCGGGAAAAAGGTAGATCGCTTTTAAACTTGTTAAAACCGGCGATTGCATGTATAGCTGGCTTCACATTCCCTGTATAAGCTCCTCAAGAGCTCGATGCGGTCGTTTTTCAGTCCACTTTTCTTCATTTTTGCCCATAGAATTTGATGTGATGCAGCGTCATATGCTTTCTTCAGGTCTAGAAATGGCAAGAACAGCTGGGAGCTTTGTATACTCTTCCATTTCTATGGCTTGGGTCAACGTAAATAAGTTATCGCATGTTCTTCTGTTATGCCGGAATCCATTTCGAACCTGTGTAAAAAGGTTTTTTTTTTTTGTTGTTTTTTTTACGGAAGTATTGTATGCTCTGAACAGTTTGCATAGATTGCTGATTATTGATATGTCTGTAGACATTAAGGTTTTTTTTTTAATATCATTGTTTTCCTTTTTAAAGTAGCTTACTTTTGCTTGTGTTCAGGACCTTGGTATGTTTTTTGCTTCGAGAATAGTTTTAAAATATAATGCAAGGTTTTCTACTGCCTCTCTTTGAAGTGCCTTGAGGAATTCTTTGGGTATATCACCAGCACCTGTCGCCTTTCTGTTTGTTTAGTCGTTGAATTTGTTTCTTGAGTTCCATGCTGGTTATGGCAGTGTGCCGAACCGAAAAAAATACGGGTTCGGTTACGGTTCAGGTTCAGGTAAATTTATTTTGTTCCGGTTCAGTTCCGGTTCGATTAATTCGATCCGCGAACCGGTTCGCGAACCGGTTCGGGGCGCTGAATCGGTTCGCGAACCGGTTCGGAAATTATAAATTACAAATTGCAACATCAAAATAAATTACAAATAAAACATCTGAAATCAGCACATACGAAACGGGATACATCATGGTGTAAGGCTCAGGAATTTCTACCAGGAATGGCTTCTTTATGTGCACTCAAAGGTTACCTCACAGACGTTTACGCATTCGGACTTCATCTAATTGGGTCCGACGCAGTAGCTGTAAAATCCACGACCTCCTTACAAAACCACTTACAAGTAGAACTCGCTAACTATCTCGCCACCTCGGCGTGTAAGCAATTGAAGGAACAGTGGGGAGAAAATACAGCTTTCTTTATTTGAACTAGCCTTCGGTAACTCAAATTAGACCCTTAAAGAAGTTTTCATTAAACAAGATACGGAATATGAAAAACACTTCACCGAACACAACGCCAGAAGGACGTAATAGGATAAATATTAAAATAGAAGAGTTCGCTGTCTCACAAATATGTTAGCTTCTAAGTGCCTATACGAAACCGGATGCATTATTATCAAACTCCACAGCCTTTTTTTTTTCTCATTCCGATGGAAGCAAGCCTCAAGAACTCGCGCGTTCTAGAAACGTGTTATGAAATGAGCACACAGCAGCATTTAGGATTTACGAGATTGTAGAAAAATGAAATCCCGTGACGCGATTTTTTTTTTTTTTACAGTTTTTTAATTCTCTTTCTTCCGTGCAAGCCGCGACCAGCGCAATACTGGTTCCTATGTCAAGATTCATGGATGCAGCGTTTGTCAAGATTCATGGATGCAGCGTTTATATTCCTAAGACTGAGTGGAGAAGAAAAATATGTAAGCGAGGTGTGTGTCAGTTGACGGCACTTAAAAAACAAATGGCATTGATAGCACATTCATTGTCAACAGCGCGTGGCCGAACCGTTTTGACATGAGCCGGTAACCGTTATTTTTTTTTCCGGTTCAGTTCCGGTTCGGGTTCATCGCGATAACAATATAACGGTTCAGGTTCGGG